CCTGTTCCCCGACTACAGATTACAAGAATTATTTGCATTGCTATAGACTTTTCAAAACTTAATATTTACCTTGACTGATTGTGAGGTAGCCTAGTCAGTAGTGAACGGCAAGTGGAACAAAAGTTTACATACCCTTCGAGAGTCAGGTAACCCCTAAGAGAGCCTGCCAGTCATGCCCAGCCCTGAATGCACATACTGGAATCCTTTTGGCCTATTTCCAACTTTCAGATACTTATGTTATCTATCTGTTCCTATCCTTTTCCCATTTTTCTATTGTATTGTTGATCATTTTCTTCTTGGTTTCTGAGAACTCTTCACATATTAGAGAGATTAGCTCTTTGTCTATGATGTGAGTTGTGAAAATTTTTTCCAGTCTATCGTTTTTCTCTTGACTGATTTTTTTTTTTTTTGGCAAAGTAGACTTTCATGGAGTATAATTTATCAATCTTTTATTTTATGACTTCTGAGTTTTAGTCATAGTTAAACAAGCCTTTGCTTGAGGAATTTTTTCATGTCTTTTAGAACTTTGATGGTTTCAGTTATACCCTCAGGTGGTTGGTCTACTTGGAATTCATTTTGGTATATGGTATAAATTGTAGGATATAGTTTTCCCACTTTTCTTTTAAAACATTAACACTTATTTTTGAAATAAAGCTTTTTTTTTTCTCCTAGTGTTTTAAAAGTATTAGCATTGCGTGTGAAAAGATGACTAATTTTTATAAATTTACTTAGAAACTTCTGGGCAATGGTTGAGGCATTTATCACTATTGCTCTAATGTCACCTTGAAAAGCAAAAGTTGCTTACTCTACAATATGTAAAAGTTGCCTTTGAAGCCAACATTTAGTACTCATGGCGTATCCATTTTTTCCCTGACAAATCAAAGTTTGGTAGATGGGTGGGGATAATTTCCAGCTTAGGCACACATTGCTTTTCAGAAGCTCTTACCAAAACTTCCATTGAACCATAGATCAGAGAAAAAAACTGTTCTCTAGCTGGAAACCATCACGTCATGGGACTTGCCCTGAGACAGAGAAGTCTTTGTTTTCTGTCCTCCCAATTCGAGTCTGATATAGCTTTACCATGTGGCAGTATTAGAGGGTAGCATTTCAAAAACAAGATGACATGCTGACTTATGATGAATGGATAGGAATTAGCCAGGGAAAAAAAAGAGGGAGAAGAGTACTCCATGCAGTGGAATAGCATTGGCATAGGCTCAGGCATGTGATGTGTTCTAGGAACTATAAATTCCAGCAACCAGAATGTAGGGTCAAGGAAGACAAGGATGAGAGATGTCAGAGTTACAAACCTCCAGACCTGCAGAGAATTTTTATAAAGTTTATTTAAGCCCAAACTGAGGACAATTGGTAGGAAGTAAGATCTCAAGTGCTCTGGAGAATGACAGTTTTGCAGTTTTCTGTTATGCATTTGAAATTAAGGAAGGAATGTAAGGAAGATTTCATGAAGGTGGGAGAAAGCAATGCAGGGATTGGATTACAGGATAGTGAACAGGGTCATGTGCTCTCTTGAGGATGGTTACCTGTATGTTCAAAAGTATGATGATCTAGATGCACAAAAATAGTAGACAGGGCTTGCTTGAGGCAAAGAAAGACCTTTTACTACAAAAGTTATATGCCTGGGGTATGACTATCCACCACGACCAGCCCAACTGAGTTAGGAACTTATGATCAGATCACCCTGTGAGGTTACTTTATGTAGAACTCCTTGTTCAGCCACAGAGACCAGGCTTGAGAGGTAAGCAAGGACTGGATCGTGAAGGATTGTAAACTGACTTTTTCCAGAGGGCAATGGGAAGCCATTATGTTATCAAATTAAAGGGAGTTAATTTGCCTGCAAGCATCAAAGCCAAATGAGATACCAACAGGGGTTTGCCGCCAAGTAAGTAAAGGAAATGGCGCTGAGCCTGGAAACAGGTGAGCTGGTGCTCAAAGACCTGGCTTTCCAGTGGCCTCTGGGGGATAAGTTCTGTAAGGGAAAGATCATTAGTCAAGGTAGTTAAGGGAGTTGGGGTCGTGGGCTCTACTGATTGGTTGGGGCTAAGGTTGGGAACAGTCAATCACTGCATTAAATCCTAATGTCATGGCTTCGTTCTATCTGGTTTCAAGGGAATGTGGCTGGTAGGATCATTTCATTTCCATGGGTCTGGAGCTGAAACACAACTGAAGTCAAGATGTTCTTTTGACTACACTCTGTTTCTGTGGTCAACAGACGTGAGGCTTTGTTCCTAAGACCGTTTGATGATGAGCAGAAGCTGATGCTCTAATGCAGTCTGTGCAAAGCGGAAGGGTAGGAAAGAAGAGAGGCAAGTGAGTCATAGTGCTGTTAGACTAAATGGCCAGTTTGTATCAAGGAGGAAGAAAAAAGTCAATTTAAGAAAGCAAAATGTTTGCGTGCTTACAATTTTTCCCTTTTTGTGGTCATTTTTCAATCTAGAGATAGGAACGAGGACTCCTATGGCTGCTTCTTGCTGAAAAGGGGCAGAGTTCGGGGCTTAGAGAAATGAAATTGTCTTACATTCAGTTGAAACTATTATTATAGTTTCCAGTTTACCATGAATACTCTGTACTACCATAATGTTTGTTTTTTTTTTTCCCTTGGGAGTGCTGTTTTTAGTCTTAAAGATGAGATTTTTTTAGCCAAAAATATACAGTCTCTAACAGAAAACAATTTGATAAGGATTATCAATATAATGTATCTGTGTAAATAACCCACGAAAGAGGCCTCCCATTCCAGAATGTAGCCAGGAAAAGGCACCTAACAGGTTTTCTCATGTCTTATAGCTAAGTAATCTTATGCATAATTCTATTTATCTGAGACTCAACTTCCCCAGAGGTGTTAATGTAGGTGTAGCATGTTATATTAGCTGCTGCATAGACTCTTCCTTGTTTTGCCAGCAAGTAATCTAATGCAATCCTATTGTCTAAGACCCACATGCTAAGGACTCTTGTAAGGTGGTCTGTTGGAGTCTTAGAGCTTGAGCAGTAGAATAGGCCAAATGGCTGACTGTACAGGTTAAATGTCATAATATCGGGTATTTAATAAGAGATATGTCTGTGAAGACAAAAGGAAAACAAAGGTTAATTATCAGAGCAAATTATAAACTAGCTTCTGAGTTTGTAAGGCTATCAGTCAAGATTTCTAGGTGTAAGGCTGGAAGCATCTTTTGTAGTTTGAAATGTCCCTGACGTTGTCATTAGGTGCTAAGGTAAACTGCGTGGCTTACACAGCATTGGTCACTGAGATTGTTTAAGTATGAGCTGTTGTGATTTTCTGAATTTTATATCAAATTGCTCATCTTTAGTTTGCCTGGCTTTGGAAAAAGGCAGTTTGAGTTCTCAGTGATTCCTAGTCAGAGGATGAGAGAAAGATTGGAAACATGTTTGGAGTCACAGGCAGATATTGGAGGAAACGAGAATAATTCGGAATCCAGTCCAGTTTACAAAGTGGAATACAAAACAAAACCCAAAAGAAAATGAATAGCACTAGAATCTAATATCCGCAAAAGTATATTATAGTTTCTATTGGAACATAATTTTTTCTCTCTAATCGCCCCTATTTTTACCAAAGATAGCCAAATTAAGACTAATTTATTTGCAAAATAAGTCTACTTTCAATAAACTTGGCCTGGTTATTTGTATAAGTCCAGCAAGAATGTTAATTAACCATATGGGCACTTTTAAATATGCTTTGTTGCAATCTTTCATAAAGAATCTTCAGATTGAACTTAAAATGCCTATCGGGGCCAGAAAAGCCAAAGCAAAGACTTGCCATCAAAGGTTGCCTGTAATATAGGTTTTGGGTCAGTTCCTCTCTTCCTGAGATCTCCAGACTATCTCGAGGTTTCTACACCTTCCAAGAAGAGACATTATTTACTCACATGGTAAAAGCTACTGGGAATCATAATCATGTAAGCAGAGTACTAGGCCAATATCTCCAAGGGCTTTTATTGGCTTCCATAAGTCAATATTAATTGCTTAAAGCTGTCTCGTCATGTCCAAGTCTCTGCATCTCTCTCTCAAACATGACATGTCAGTCAAAGCCTTGTTAATAAAAACCACTTTCCAATTATGTCCTGTTATAAAGAGAACAGATTCTTACTGAACTAACACAAATAATCACATTGCCATGAAAATGAAAATACTCATTAAGAGTTTCTGAATTCTAGCTTTTATGTCACAGGTATAACGCAAACTCAGAGGAAAAACTTGATCCAAATTATGTTTTGGTAGATGGACCAAGTTAAGGTTTTGCTCAGATGGCCAAAGCTTTGTATGCTGTAAGAATTCCTTTAAAGCCATTTAAAAATTAATTTATAATCAATCATAGGATGCATTTCATTGTCTCTGAGAGGCCTGAGATCCTCTTCAAGGGTGCCCCTTAAGGTGGACTTGTCAACAAACACAAACAACAGAAAATGGAAAGTGAGCGTGCACAGTAAAGTTGGAAAGCTCAGAAGGTAAAAAAAAAAAAAAAAAAATGGCTTCAGAACACCTGAACTGCGCTAGGATGGAACCGGAGTACAAGATGGCTGCTGCCACACATCATTTTAAAGAAGTGAAGTTTTTGCTCAGTTACATCTCACTAATGAACCTATAATCTGAAAAAGTGAGCCGTGTTCCTCGGCCTGGCCAGGAAAGGTAGGAGGTCCAGACTTATGCTGTGTGGAAAGAGCCCCTCTTGGGGGAGAAGGAAAAGCAGAGGGATGTTACTGAGTGTCCAAGGAGAGAAGCCAAGGGTGGAGGTTGGAGAGAGGGAAGAACCTTCTCACCCTGCCATGAGAAGGGGCCCCAAACCCAGGCGAGACAGGAAGGTCGGGAATGATGAGGCAAATGTCACTTGTGCCTTTTCCCCCCGCCTAAAAAATTAAACAAAGCAGCTGCATTCAGTGGCCCCTCAGGAAGACCAGTCATTTCCTGAGGAACTATCAGACCAGCCCATGCATTGTTTCTGTTTCCAGCAATGGCTGCCATTACCTGACCAGCACCAGAGCTGCTCTCTGCTGCACTAGGAGTTACCAGAGCGGTATTTCTTGCTTTTCACAGGGCAGGTTTCTCATTTGTGGTGCCTGGGAAGTGTCTTCTGGCCCAGGGGCTTGGCCCGAAGGCAGAACTAACTGTCTGAAGTCTTCACTCTCAGGATGCAGCCAGAGTGGGTCCAAGGGAGCACGATGTGGCTCAGAGTCCTGCTGACACTTCTGCTCTGTGAGTTTTACTCTCTTCCCACCTCACTTAAACGTCACAAGAATTGAAGCTCATGAAATCAACATATTTCTTCTGTATTTTCCAGGTTCAAGCCTTGAAGGTCAAGAAAACTGTAAGTTGTAAAGTTTCTATGTAGCCTCACTGTGTCTTTCTGTGATGCTTAAAACTCCTGTCAAATTGCTTGGGTTAATGTTTATAACAATTGAGGAAAAAAATGTTCCAATCGAGAGCTAAAGTGTATTGCTTTCGGGCATTTTTAGGAGATCGTTCTAAGCCAAATTCTAATCAGTATGTTCTATGTTAGAATTGGGGACGTGGGGAAAAAAAAAAAAGTGAGTGATTCCATAATTTCTTTTTGTCGTTCTACCATATAGTTCTCATTTTTCATATTCTACCCTATCCCCAATCTTTTTATTCACAAATGAAATACAATCAATTTGTTAGGGTCATGAAGACAGAAGATAGTTTAAATTGTTGTTATGACATTTTTCTCCTAAATGAGCTAAAACAGATGTTGAATTTCATCTCCCATCTACCCATGAGGCTACAGTTATACCTGCAATATTTTATGTTTTTGGCAGGAAAGGGGACTTCTGCCTATCGTTGAAGTTTGCTTTATCATCCACTTTAGAGCTAATTTTGAGTCTTTAAGATAGTAGGTTTTATTTTGCTTTATCTGGGACCATGCGAAAGAGGGGGTTTGGCTGGGTCCGGGGGCTTAATAGAGGGAGAGCCCACAGAACAGGATTCCCTTGTCAGCGGTCACTTCAGTTGGCAAAGGATGGAGGTGACTGGGTTGCAGACAGCTGTACAGCTCTTTGGAGATGATATATGTGGATGATGCTGGTTCATTGAGCCAGGGCTTGGAATAGTGGCTCCAGGATGGGGATGATGCTGGTTCATTGAGCCAGGGCTTGGAATAGTGGCTCCAGGATGGGGAGGGCTAATGGGGCTACTAGCAAAGCCAGTCTGCAGGTCTCCAGGTCAACTGCCCATGGGCTTTGGCAGGCATTTGATCCCTGTGACAATCCATGGATTTCCATCATCATCGTAATTATATCAATTAACTGACGATGTCTTTGCACCTCAGAGAAATAACCAACTTGTCCAAGCAAGAGCCAGTTGGCAGGGAATCAGCACGAGAACCTCCACTGTCCAAAACCCGCCTATCTGTCCGGTGCCACAGGCCTGACTCCGCTCTTTAAAGCTACTTTGACTTTGCCTCTCTGAGCTCTTTTTCCGGTCTGTAAAGTGGGGATGATAAGAGAATCAGTCGCAGAGTCAGTGTGAGGATGAGGTTAGATCAAAGGAGGCGACTGGCCTGCCCGGCATGTGGCGGTTAATAAATAACGGATTATTCTCTGCGGTCCTGGTCCTGCCAACTTCCCAGCTCCTGCACCACACCACACCACCGTCTGTCCACTCCGGCCCACCACCTCTAGCTTCCGTCCAGACCACACCCTGCCAACACACGCATGCTTTTGGGCTTCTGTATCTCGCTGTCCGCATCCTGTTTCCCGGGACCTCCAGTCTCTCCCATCTCCTTCCCTACCTCAGATGCAAGTAAATCGCTCCCTTTCGAGGGTTCCTAGAAAAAGGTCTTTGTACCTTCAGGAAAGACCTTGCAACTGTAGGACTTAGAGCAGGAGACTCTCCCACTGCTTCCTCGGGCCTCCGCTTTGTTTTATACTTGAGGAAACTGAGGCCCGGAGGCCATAAGGTATTTGTTAATGGTCGACCCTTGGTGTTAGCAGCGTGGGAGCAAGGATCCAGGTCTCCTGTTCCTTAGGTCACCCAGACCACACTGACAGCGCGTTTGATACGCGTGGCCTATGTGCTTTCTTCACATGGCCTGTTCTCTGTGGCTGAGGTGCTCGATCAGCCCTAGCCTTTCCCACTCCTTTATCTCAGGCCTTCACCCCGCAGCCTGCCTGTCTCCTCAGGAGATGACCTCAGCTCCATCTTCACCTAGAAAACAGTGTTGTCTGGAGGGCACTCCCTTAACTTCCCGCCCTGCCCTGGCTTCAGGCTTATCTGCCTCCCCACCCATCCTCCCAGCTTCCCTCTGCTTCAGAGATGTCTGCCTCTGTGCTGACCAGGCCAGCCTGTCCACCTGGGCCCTGAGCCCAGCTCTCACATTGCCCCCCAGGATCTCACTCTATCATTTATTTAGCTTTCACCCCACTTTTAATATCTTCCCTGCCGTGCCCCCACTTTCTGGCTCTTTCCCCTCAGTCTATAGACAAGATTGGTAGCTTTTGTTGTTTTTTTTTTGGAAAAAGAAAAATCACACACAACCCACCCCCTCCATTTATCTTGTGTCTTCTATCTATCCACTCCCTTCCTTAGTCAAACTTCTCCGAAGGCTGGTTTATACTCACTGTCTCTGCTTCCCTGCCTCTCCGTCATCCCTCACTCAGCAGTCTGGCCGTGGCCCCCACTGGAATCCTCTCATGGACCTCCCAATGCCAGGTGCCATGAACAGGCTAGCCCTTAGCTTTGTGGCCCTGTGCTGCCTTTGCACGAAGCCTCCTTCCTTGGCCTCCTAGACCCTCTTCCCTGGTGTTCTCTTATATCCCTGACAAGCCCGCCTCCTTTCCTCAGGGGACACACGGACTTTCTGGGGTCTGAACTCCCTGCCTCCCCTGGTCTCTGCAGGCTCCCTGGTCGTACCCTCTTTCTACACCTCCACATACTTCCCTGGTCCAGCTGAGCCCTGGCCTCTCCCCTGAGCATGGTGTGCGGCCAGTAGGTGACATCTCCTCCTCGTCACCTCTCAGGCCTCTCACCATGACTTTTTTTCACCCTTATTTTTTACTGGCATTCTCTATTTTACTTGGTGGCACCTGTATCCTCCTGGATACCTAATCTATTATAAAAAAAATACCTATAACGTAAAATTTATTTATTATTAATGATATTTAGTACATTCATAATGTTGTGCAAACATCACCACTGCTAATTCCAGAACCTTTTCGTCACATCCCCAAATAAGCCCTTTCGTGTCCACTAAATATTTCCCAAGTCCGCCCCTTCATTCCCACTGCGCCTGCCCTGGCTCAGACCTCATCAGCTATCACCCGAACCCCTATCCAAGCTGTTTGTAAGCCTCTGGTCTCTTCTTCCAGCCCACAGTGATATTTCTAAAGTTCCAGTGTCATCCCGTCACTCCCCTCAGGATAAAGATCCTCAGGGTAGAGACCATCTTGTCAGCACAGCAGGCAAGGCCCTCTGTTCTGGCACTTCCCACCTGGCCCCTCCGGCCCCACACTCTGGTTCCTGTAACTGTGCCCAGATGCTTTGATTTCTCATGCCCTGTACCCTGGTACATGTTGTTCTCCTGCCTGGATCACCCCTGTTCTTGGCCTGGTCCAAGGCTCAGTTCAGGGGTCACTTCCTTCAGACTTTCCTGGGCCTCTCCTGGGCCCTTCCTCTTGGTATCTCCATCACTGTACCCCAGTCATCTGGGTCCTCATCAGCCTGCACAGTCTAAGACAGCAGGGATGATTTCGTATTCACCTTGTAAGCCCAGCACCTGGCACAGGTGCTCAATAAATGTCTCATTGAAGGGGACTCAGACTGAACTTGGAGATGCTTGAGATTCAAAGGAGAAGATAGGCCAGCATCAGCGGGGACTCCATGCCTCGTGGCTCCCTGTAATTTTCCTGACAATAGCGGGTGGTTCTTCCTTCTCCCCCCTCCCCCACCCCACCTTGCTTTCTGAGTCATTTCCAGGTTGAGGGCCAAGTGGCCGGCTGAGGCAGAATGCCTCATCTTCCGAGGGAGCATTGGCATCCGCTGACTGGAGGCTCGAGGTAGAGGGGAGCAGGCCCCTTCGTTTGGGGTTTGGGGATTTGGCACTGTGGCCCCTGGGTGCACTATCTGTGCTGTGGTGACTTCGTTACTTTGAATCCTCCTCCATCAGCCTTCGTCCCCCCAGGTTGAAAAGATCTGACCTCTTTGGGCTGTTTTGCAGCCCATGATTCTTTGATCATGACAGTTCTGAACCTTTTGGGTTCTATAAGGAGAGCTTTGGATCCTCTCTCCAGAAAAATCCACATTTGCACATCATCAGAGGAGGTTCATGGGTCACCTAACAGCCATCCATGAAGCTCCAAGGGGCCCAGGTAGCCCAGGCTGTGAACAATCACTGTATTCTATGAACACACAGTATTCCAACTTGGCTATTCCTGGACACAAAGAGGATGTTTTCCATTTTCTGTATTAACTTAATAATCAGGTAGAGGTTTTTGAAGATCGGTTGGGTGGTATGTTTGTTATCTATTGCTGCTTAACAAATGATCCCTAACATAGTGGCTTAAGACAACAATTTATTATCTCGCACAGTTTCTGAGGATCAGGAATCTGGGTGTGGCTTAGTTGGGTGGTTCTGGTTCAGGATCTGTCAGGAGATTGCAGATAAAATGTCAGTCAGGGGTTATGATTATCCGAAGGTTAGTCTGAAATGGGGGATCTGCTTTTAAGCTCACTTCTGTGGCTGTTCCTTGCCACGTGGGCTTCTCCATAGGGATGCTCGTGACAGGGCACCTGGCTTTGCCCAGAGTGTGTGACCCCAGACAGAAGTTGCAATGTCTTTTGTAACCTAACCTCAGAAGCGACATACCAGCCCTTCTGCAGTATTTTCTTGGTTACAAGACCAACCCTGGTATGATGTGGAAGGGGACCGCAAGTGGGTGTGACTGCCAGAAGAAGGCAAGGCTCACTGGTGCCCCCTCGAAGGCGGCCACTGCATGGGCCCTGCTGGCCGCTGTTTTTGTTAAGGTTTTGTGTCGAGCCATAGAGCTAGATTCTTATCTTGAAAAATTTCATAAAATGCTTTTCCTTCTTCTGTCCTGCCCTCCTTTTGTCTTCCTTGTCTGTTCCAGCTGGCCAAGGACGTGTGAAGTTAGCCTATTAAGTTGAGTGAACACGTTGAGTTAACTTATTAAGGAGATGTGTGTTAGAGCTGCTTAGAAAAGCAAGATGGTAGAAGTGCCCCATGCTGATGGATATCATCCTCTCTAAAAAACGCCAGCTGATGCTTCACCCAAGTGGGCATTAAAATTGTTAAAAAGTGGCAGGGCTCCTATAAAGAGGAAACGAATGAGGCCTGGTCAGATCGGAGGGCCTGGAGTAGGGAAGAATTGTAAAATGCAGATTGTGAGCTCCAGGGGTGCAGAAAATGTGCCAGTCTCACTCTTCTCTGAACCCCCCAGTGTTGGGTGCGGTGCCTGACACAGAGAAGCCCACTTGAATGTCTGCTGCAGGAATGGTGTAAGGAAGCGGGAAGGGAATGGCGTGTGAACCAGGGGCCAGGCATTGAGCGGCACATGCTCCGCCCCTTCAGTGCTCTCAGACACCTCGGTTCATCATTGTTCGAAATTAAAATACCAGAGAAGGCAGGTATTAGTGTTCCCATTTTGTAGAAGTGGTAGCCCTGAGGGGTAAAGAACTCCCAGCATCACCCAGCTAATGGCTGTGGGTTTGAACCCGGGTGTGCCTGACTCGCTTTCTTGCTGTACCCAGCTCCATGTCCAGTCTGAGGCATCGCCTGCCATAGGTACGCTTTTCATTCAGGATGATGCGAGCAAAGTAGCCTAACACGGTGGATGACTAACACTGGGCGTCTGGAGAAGTTGCTATACTAGACCTGGGAAATTAAAAAAAAAAATGGTTTTCTTTTGAAAAAATTCTCTAGAAATATGTAATTGAGATAGAGCTTTAGCGACCTCGAGACACAAGAATTGGTTTTATATCCATGACTGACAGAATCTAGCTAACATTTCTCAAGCTCTTCACTTGTGCCAGCAACTGTACCTCAAGTACTTACACTCAGCTTCCCATGTTCACTCACGATTATTATGTCCGTTGTATGGATAAGCAAACTGAGGCTCGAAGAAGCGCACTAAGTTGCCTAAAGCCACACAGTTTGTGAGTCTCAGCAGGGAACTTGGCCCAGACAGTCTGGCGCCAGACTTTTGCTCTCTACTATCTTCTGATAGAAACAGCCTGGCTGAAAATGAGGGAGGGGTAGTGAGACCTGCCTGCCCCTGCCTGGGAAGGGACCATTTTAATCAATGGAAAATTAAATATGGTCCAAAGGATCTTCTGCACTGAGAGCTCACCCAGGGGGCTCCTCAGCTGACAGGAATAGAGAAAAATGGAAAAGGGAGTTCTAAAGACTAATGCTGTGGGAAATGACTTGAATTTAAACCCTCACTTTGTTTCATCTCATGGACTGATGGGATGCCATTTTTTTTTTTGTCAAAGTAATTGCTCAGAAGAAAGGGACAGGTGTGGACTGTTGGATTCATTTAAAAACCTGAGACATTATAGACAAATTAAATTCTAAATTGCTGGGAAAAAGTTTGACTTTGTTAAAAGAGGAAAAGACAGTTTTTACCAATGTCTCTGGCCAGCTAGCTAGCTGTACCTTTTCTTATTTGAAAACTGACTTGAGACCACTTATAAAAATTATGTATTGTTTAATATAATTCAATGAGGGACCATGGCAAGATGGCCCAAGCACACAAATTTCTGGAGATCTTCCTTTGTCTAAAAATAAGGAGATTTAGAATATCTAGGAGGCTCAATAAATATACATTAATCAGGCGCAGCCTATGAATATTTTTCTCTTAACAAAGTATCTGATGAGAATCGAACTTTTAGGAGCCTTGCCTAAACCATGTGACACTATTTTGCTTGAACAACACCTGGTGTCCATTGTCCCACACCATCTCTGGACTCTGAAGTCCTCATGGGCCACATAAACTTTGAGTGAGGTCCTTGCTTGGAGCTGTCTGTATATGGAGAGTAACATCTTGTGTAAAAGAGGAGGGAGGAGTAAATAAGACTTATCTTTGAATTTGCTTATAGATGCATAAAGACTAACTAAAAAGATACACAAAAAACTAAAATCAGTGGTTACTTCTGCAAGGGGAGGTGGGAACTGGGTGGATGGGAACAGGAATAGAGAAGAGACTTTATGCTATATTTTTTCTATATTTTTTCTTTTTTGGACTTCAAGTATACAGAATTGGATTGATCATAATAATCCTTGGTTCATAGTACACTCTCATCCTTGATCCTTACATAATTGCCTTTTGTTTTATTTATATGTGTGTTTTTAATAACATAACGAATTCACAGGACTCCACCACTCAACCCAAGAATTAGAACATTACCTATACCTGTATCTCCTTGTGTGCTCCACCCAGTCTTCTCTCTCTCTTCCCTTCAGAAGTGACCACTATCCTGCTTTTTTTTTTTTTTTATTAACCTTAGGTCCATCTGCCTTTTAAGATTTGCATTATTTGAGATAATTTGTCAGTAGGCTCTTTGGAGTTTTCTCAAAGACACCGTATCATCTACCTTTGGGGGTTTTGAAACATTTGACTGCACTGTCCACTCAAAACTTTAAATAAATATTTAATATCTTGTGATTGTTTTATTCACACTTCATAGTTGAGACAGGAGACTAACAAAGCATACCAGATACAATAGCTTTCAACCCTAGGTCCTGAAGCCAAATGAGTAGCTTTCTTGAGAACAGGCATGGTGGAGGTTTATGGGGGACATATGTAGGAGTTTCGAGGTTTTGAGAGGCTATACCTGATTTTAAGGTCATGGACTTTGGGTACATTTCCCCCCAAATTCCTCACATGTTGTTCATTTTTTCTAGCCATATATAGACAGTGAGATGTTTGAGGCTGTTTTCGTGACAGGAGTTTGGAGAGTGAATATTTTACAGTGCTGATCAAGTCTGAGTCCATGTGCTCAGGTGATAAACCACAGGGAAGGTAGAGCTGAGGTACTTTGAGGGGCATCAAGGAGCATAACCAGGTAGGCTGTAGAAGGACCTATGGGCAGGACCAAGAGGATCCTCAAAAGACAGACCTGCCCTGAAGCTTGGACAAAAGTCTTGATCGATGAACATGGTCTAGAACCTTCTAGCCTGGAAAATTTTCAGAGCAATGTCCTATTGCCAACCAACCAACAGACAAAAATACTTATTAAATAGCTAGAGAGCATCTAGTTCTAAGCTATTCATCTTCCCATCGGCCCACCACTTTAAATAAGTTTCAAAATGCGATCTCTAGTCTGTTGATAGTCTATGATTGCTGGATATTAGATGCTGGATGACATGGGCCAGAAATGATGCATTTGACTAGTTGAACTGGTACCTGGTTTCTGGCAGAGGTTGGGTAGCTAATTGGGTATCATAGCTACTCTGGGGGCTGACCAGAGAGTCCCCTCATCGGTAGAGGAGAACCTGTGCTCTTTGCTTCTCAATGGCAGATGGGGATGGGGGCTGCAAGTGGCTGCCTCAGAAGTGGTTTCAAGTCTTCACCCATCTGGCGAGGACTCTTTGAGTTCATCAGCTAGAAAATGCCAGCTAGGACTGTGCTAATTCCTTCAGGCCTGGATGAGGAAGGAAATTTCCTGGGTGTGACTCCTGATTTCAGAATGGTGATAGCTGTCATTTATGAAACAGTTACTGTATGCCAGGCACTGTACTGGGTGCTTTCCTGCTCCTCTCCTGTGAGTCTTGCAATAACCTCCTAAGTATATATTACTGCCCCATCTTACAGATGAGGAAGCAGAGCATGGGGAGGTCAGTTATCCAACATCACACAGTGAGTGATGAACGGGGACTTGAATGCTTGTCTGCCTGAATCCTATGCTTCTTCTAGGGGCCATGATGTGGCAGCTTACAGGCTGTGCATATCTATGGACATGTTTAATTGTCACACTCTGAAGACCACCACCTCATCTTGGTGGGAATATGAGCAGCTTAGTACCAACTGCCTCGTGCTTGACCCACTACCCAGAGTGATTACCTGCCTGGCCCCTGTAGGCATTTGGGACCCCTGGACACTATACTGTGCAGGATGTGATAAAACCAGATCACCAGGACAATGTTGTTTCTGAGATAACAGATGTGTCTGCCCTCCTTCTCTTGGCATTTAGCCTTCACCATCAACAGCATCCACATGGAAATCCTGCCAGCACAGACGGTGCAAAATGGGGAGAACCTGACCCTGACGTGCATCGTGGATATCAGCACCACCTCGCACACCATGCCTCAGCACTGGATTCTCTTCTATAAGGATGACGTGCTGTTTCACAATGTCTCCTCCATGAAGAGTGCAGAGAGTCATTTCATTCCCCAGGCCCGGGTCTACAACGCAGGGATATACAGATGCACTGTGATTCTGAACAACAAGGAGAAAACCACTACGGAGTACGAGGTGTTCGTGAAAGGTGAGTCCCTGGAATTGAACGTAGCTCAAGCAGATAAAGCTAACGCATGCAATAGCCAGAACAGTAATTGAATGCAAAGTAGCACTGGACCAGTTACTGGCCCATCCGTCACTCTTTTCACTCATCTGCCTGGAATTTTCCTAACCTGAAATGTAGGCATTAGACATGCCGCAAACATGCCAAGCTATTTCTCACCTCCTTGCCTTTGCACATGCCAGTCCCCTTTCCGCGAATACCCTTCATCTCATCTCCTCGCGAACTCTGATTTCTCCTTTAACATTCAACTCAGTGATCTCTGACACTTTCCCAAGCAAAAGTGATCACCCCCAGGGTCCTGGTCCTCACAGCTCTTATGCTTTCTCTACATTCACTGGTGTTTGTAAAAAGGCCATTGGACCAAGTGTTGACATTGAATTTTGCGGTGATTCCGCCTGAATTCCAATCTGGGCAAGTCCCTGAACCTCTCTAAACTTTAACATTCTCGTCAGTGAAATGAAGAAAATATTACCCAGTTTAGGGAATTTTGAGAGGATTAAAAGATATCGTGTAGGCAAAGTACTTAGCCCAATACCAGCACATAATGAGTTCTCAGTAAATGGCAGTTATGCTTTCACTTGTTGCAACTATTTCTCACAGATCTGTCTTCTCTTCTGCACTGTGCAATCATGAGGAAAGAGATAGTGTTTGGTCTCTTTTTGTACCTCGAACAAAGAATCTGGCTCATAGAAGGCACTTCATAAATGATCAAAATAAAACAGATGAGAAGAAGAAGAAGAAACGGATGGGGATAGAGAAACAGGAGAGAAATCACTGTGGGAAATTTGGGTTCAGAGATATAGGGGTTCGTTCATTCATTCGTTCATTCATTCCCTCAGAAAGCATTTCCCAAGACTGCAAGTCAGGAATAAAACAGTACAAGACATGAAAATGCTATGAGCTTTTGGATGAGCCTTGAACCATTCTGAACTTCACCTTTTTCATCTGTAAAATGGGCATAATGTTATGTTTTATGCCCACTCAGGAGATTTAGTATGAGAATTACATATAAAGTCAAGCCTAGCTCTGTGGCTTGCATTCAATACAGTATAAAGTTTTGTTTTGTTTTTAACTGTATCAGTTGGGAAGACAGTGGTATTATATGTCAAAAGCATCAACCACATCGTAAACATATTTTATAATTTTCCAGGTACCTTTTGTAGTGCTAGGCACCTATGTGCTCAATAATTACCTGGTAGGTAGCCCCAGGTATTCTGGGACTAAAAGAAAAGAACCGTTAGGTCAACCACCGTGACTCAGCTGCGAGAGGCCTGTGCCACTAGGTCAAACTGGTTCTAATGGACTGTCTCTTTCCCCAAAGGAGTGTCCTGTCCCACAGTGACGCTGAACAAGAAGGAGGCGATCGAAGGTGGGAATGTGATGGTCAATTGTTCTGTCCCAGAGGAAAAGGCCCCAATACTTTTCACAATTGAAAAATTTGAACTAGATATCAAAGCTGTCAGGCAAAAAAGAGAAAAAACTTCTCAGAACAAGAATTTTGTGATGCTGGAATTCACAGTCGAGGAACAGGACCGTGTGATATTCTTCCAATGTCAAGCTACCATTATTTCCGGGAAAAATGTGGAGACCTCTGAACACGCCAGGAGCGAGCTGGTCACCGTGAGGGGTCAGTCCTGATTTGCTTTTTTTCATTCTTTCTGGCTTGCTGGGTCAGTATGGGGAGAAAGAGCCCAGGATTGGAAAGGGCCTGGGGCTTCCCTACAGGTTGCTGTTCTCAAGATAGTTTTCAATCACTTTAAGTCCCTAGTTTTCAAACTTTCTGACTGTGACACAGTTTAAAACATGTGTGTGTGTGTGTGTGTGTGTGCGTATACACATATATATACACACACATACATATGCATATATATACACACATATATATGCATAAATTTCCCAAACGAAAGTTTTACAGACAATACTTAACCTTAATATGTGATGCATTGTGCTATTTTCTATTCTATTTCAGTGTTTTGGTTTTTTTTTTAACTCCAGCCATAACTCACTGAAACGATCCACTGTGTGACCTGCACTTTGAAAACCACAGCTTTAAGCCAGTGTGGGTCAGACATCAAGAAGTGGGGTTTGGAGGAAATCAGGAAGGAGGGAGGGCCAGGTCCTCAGCCTTGATCTCCCGCATCTCCCGCATTTGATAAGGAGCTCCCCCGTGCTACCCGACCCCCATCACCAAGACTTTGGAAACAAGTTAGGTGACCTGAGAGCTGGTCTTGGAAGAGAAAGGCGGCAGCAGAGGGAAGCCTGAGTGTGAGTGTCCAGGAGAGAGCTCTGAGACAGGCAGCCAGCAGACCCCAGGGACCTGAGGGGGAAGGACTTGTGAAGCAGGGAAGAGGCAGGGAAAGGCACATTCTAACACAGATGGCCTCGAGTAGTTTCAATATGTCTGATATGGAGAAAAGTTTACAACATATTAAGTTTACAACATATTAAGGAGCCCTGAAGTTCATCATAGATGACCTTCTGCTTTGGCATCTTACTCCACCCCTGCCCATTGTGTGTGTATATATGTTGACAAGCATGTATATAATATGTACGTGTATATATGTATACTTACATACATATATAAATGTTACATATATGTGATCTTTTTCTGATCGGAATACATAGTGTGGGTTAAATTTTCGGGAAATATGGTACACTATAAAGTGACAGTCACTCATAGTATCACAACTCTGAGAAAACCACTTGTGTGGTCCTCTAAGCTTACTCTGCTTATACGTTCATGCACACACATAGAGTTTTTGTTTTTCTTTGTTTTAACATAAAATAGGACTTATTAAACGTACTGTTTTATAATCTTTTTTTAGCTTAATATGTTGTAAACTTTTCTCCATATCAGACATAGCTCTACATCATTTTAGTGGCAACTTGGAATCCTGTTACAGGGATGGGCCATAATGTATTCACCACATTTTCTATTGATGCATGTTTAGATATTTTTTCAGTTTTTGCTATTAAAACAATCTTGCATCAGACATACTTGTACTTATAACTTTGTATGTTTGCAAGTATTTTATTATTATTAATGGGATTGATTCCTATGAGTCAAATTATCCATTGAAATGTTTTGTGCATTTCAGTGCACAAAAGTGCTTTGTGCCAAAGTGCTTTGTGCCAAAGTGCGTCTGATCTCGGCTGAACAGTTCCATCAAAAGCAACGTTTACCACCCTTATCAACACTGAGTATTGTCAACATTGCGTTATTTTTGCCAGTCTAATTGAGGCACAGTGATGTATAGTGTTGTTGTGATTCGTTTTTCTTTGGTCTTTAATGAGGCTGAGTATGTTCTTTATGTTTATTGGTGTATTATATTTCCCCCCATAAACTTCCTGTTCACATACATTTGCCCGTTTTTACTATTCCTTATTGATTTGTTTGAGTCCTTTATAAATGAAAGGTTTAACTCTTTCTCAGGTTCTATGCAAATATTTTTCTTTTTGTCAGTGTGTTTATGATTTTTTCCATGCCGAAGCTTTTAATCTTTAGTTAATCAAATTTATCCATCCTTTTTCCTTATGGTATCTCAGTTTTGGGATTCATACCTAAAGTTCCTCTATACTCCAAGATTATTAAAGAAAAAATGCATCTATGTTTTCTTTTACTGTTTCTGTGGTTTAATTTAATATTTTTTTTCCTGCATTTATATCTCTGGCAGATCTGGAATTAATTTGGGTATAAAAAAAAGCCCTTCAGTTATTACTAAGCTACCCCAGTAGGCACTTATTGAGTGTCCTAAAAGATACCCTCTCTTTTCTGACTTTTACTCAGGAAAGCAGGCTATTTTTTGAAATGATAGTTTTTTATTGTGATTTAAATGACTTTATAGTAAAACAAAACAAAAACAAATGAATATGAAAATGCTATATCACTATAAATTTGCTTTTGGCATTTTCGAAGAGAAATCAGAGTATATCTTTTGGCATTTTTAATATCTCTATCTGTATTTTACACAGTTGTAATCTGCGTGTATACTCTCTATGCTCTGCTATTTTTTTTGGCAGGAACAAAAGCCTAGCCTTGCTTCCCTCACTATGTCCTGAAGATCCCACGCCCTGGTATTTGACCCATTTTTCATTAAAACAGTGTTTTTCAAATTGCGTGAGTCACGAAATCAATTTAGTCAGTCACAGCCAGCATTCTGTTTCTTTAAGAAATAGAATAGACTAGAAATCACTTTTTTTTGCATGTTATTTAAATATTCATTTTCATGAAGCAGCCCAGTCCACATTGTTGTCATTTTTGAAAGCTGTGGACTATTTCTGCTGAAATGCCAGAGTTACATGAAACTGTATGAGAGGAATCTGGAAAATCCTTGGCGGGCAGCGGGAAGAGTCTGTTCCTAACTGCTGTGGTTATTTCTGAGGTCATTTGAAAAAGGTTCTGCAGATGAGAGCTAGAGAAGATGGTTTAGCCTTTGGGAGGGCCAAGAAAGTTAGAGAATTTTAGTTGAGAAGAAGGTTAAAGATGCAAGAATGAGCGAGATGGGAGAGAGCATCAGAGCAGCCGAGGCAAAGGTTTTTGAGAAGACAGGTTGAATTTTTTTTAATTAATAAGGAAAACTGTGGTTGGCAACAAAAAGAGCCAGAAAAAAAGGAGGAAGTGCCTCTTTTCCTCTCCCAGGTTTGAACCTGAGTCTGACTGGCTTGTCCTCTTCTCGCAGAATCCTTCTCTATTCCCAAGTTCCACATCAGCCCCAAGGGAATGATCACAGAAGGAGATCAACTGCACATTCAGTGCACCATTCAAGTGACGCACATGGCCCCGGCGTTTCCAGAAATTATAATCCAGAAGGATAAGGTGATTGTAGCGCACAACAGGCACAGCAATGAGGCCACCTACTCAGTGATGGCCATGGTGGAGCACAATGGCAACTACACGTGCAAAGTGGAAACCAGCCGGATATCCAAGGTCAGCAGCATCATGGTCAACATAACAGGTAAGGCTGCTGCTGGAGGGCGTCGGCATATGGCAGGCTCAAGAAGCAGCCGTGCTGGAATCCTGGCGGCCAGTGAGACTGGCGGCCACTGATACTTCTGCTCCTGGACGGCCAGTGAGACTGATACTTCTGTTTGTCTGAATGAATGCACTCAGGCGAGGAGTCGTGGGGAAGCCAATGTAAAATGAGTAAACAGTTGGCTGTGGTGATAGAGGGTGCAGGTTTAGGCATCGGACCCCAGCCTTGTTGCTCACTACTTCTATGACCTTGGGTGACTTATTGAGCTTCTCCTTGCCACAACTCTATGAGATAAAGATAAAGACAAAACTCACCTATAGGACTAAATGACATGATTGCCATAAAGAGCCTCATACGAGTGAGCATTCAGTGAATGTTAGCTAGTGTTTCCATTATCAGATCACATTTATCTTCCCTCTGTGTCAAGCACTATGCTAGATCCCAGACACGGGTTTTATGACAGAATCCTGAGCGAGAAAGCATTAGCAAACTCAAAATTACCAGTAACAATTCCCCTTTGTTCAACACTGTATGATTGGTTTGCATACCTTTTCATTTTAGGCTCCTAGCAATGCAGTCAGGTGTAGGTATCATGATTGCAGTTTTATGGATATGGAAACCGAGGCTGGGATGTTGGGCAGCTCACCCACTGGTTACAGGGTTACCAAGTGGCAGAACTAGAGTCATCCCCAGGCCTGTTTGACCACCAAACACATGCACTTCAAAGTTTCCTTTGGCTCTTTCCCCTCTTACCTGGTTTTCCTTCTCTTTATATTACCCACCCCCCGCCCACCCTAAAAATGTACTCTGCTTCTTCTTGTTTACTGTGTGTACTCAGGCACTAGAGTGTAAGCTGGTTAGGGCAGGAACGTTACCTGTTTTATGCAGTTCTATATTGTTAACACCCGTAGCCAAGCATGGCACATAGTAAGAATTCAGTATGTATTTGTTGGATGAATGATTGAACATAGGATGACAGTGTTTCAGTGTTTCAGTGCTGGAGAGAGCCAGCACTTCTTGGTTCCCAGGTAAAGTTGTTCATTCATTCCTTCATTTGTTCACTCATTTACTGTGTTCAGCATTGAGTGTATAGTCACAGTAACGGTTCCTAGTGCCATGGTGGGCTGCCAACTACCCAATTGGGTGATTGGCATATGCGTTCGATCCTGTTGGTCCGTAGTATACTAGCAATTTAGTTTATTATTGATAATGACAAATATTTTGATGGCATATGATATTTTTCACAGATAAGACATCTACTATTTCATCAAAGAAAAGAATTCAATTCAATATATACTGAACACCTTCTGTATGTTGGGCAACTTACTGGGGTTAGAGAGCTGCCTAAGGTCAGGCTTTGTCCTTGAAGCATTCACGGACATAAATAGATCAGTAGAATGCAATACAACAAGCAAGGACAACAAAGAGATGGGCATACTACTGTGAGAGCAACAGGGACCAAGCGACAAACATGTGGACTGCTTCACTAATTAAAGCATCATCCTTACCCCTCAGTCCAGGCTACTTTAAGAAAGTATAAAGCATCATTGGACCCTAAGATACTGACTATTGTTTTAGCCAGTCACCCTCATCCAGAAGTCTGAGTCATATGAGGTATACAAGTCATTCAGTAGATCAGTCTCCATGGCCCAGGAAAGCAAGTGTTACGCTCAGCCTGCCCGTCTCATGCCCTCAGCCTGTGCTCTGGCCTTTGCACATGGGGTTGACCTGCTCACGCCAGGGCTGACAGGCAAACACCCCCAGTTTTGCCAGCCAGCCCTGGCGTGACTGGGTTGGCTCCTTTGGAAATGCCCCCAGGCCCACTTGTGTATCAGGTTTTTCATACCCCCGTTGCCATCAAGCCTCACTGTAAATAGCTCTCTGTAGTAATAGTGGAGGCTCACAATGTAAGCATAAAGATCATTGAACCAGTAATAGATCTTTGGATAGAAAAAGGGTTTCTTCCACCCTCCCTCCACACTGTCCACCTTTTCAGATCCAATCTGTTACCAAGTGCTGCCAGGTCCCTCAACTCTGTCCTGCTTCTCATTTTGACAATCGCACCCTAACACTGGCCCTCACCCCAGGATTATCACAGAGGTGTCCCTGAACATCTCTGTTCTAATTTATCCTTCAGCCAACTACAGGAGAAACCCTCCTAAAATGGCCCCTAATTGACATCACTATTTGTGGGCTTAAACTCCTGCATGGTCACCGTCCTTCACCTGGACCCTGCCCCCTTCCAGACATCCCTCCCTACTCAGCCCAGAATACCCCTTCCCCTTGGACATTGAAAAACCTCCCTCCAGGCTCCTCCAGGCAGAGTCCCATGGTCACACCTCAGTTCCCTGTGCACTCTGCTCCTGTCTTGATGTCAACAGTCACTGCAGAGATTTAGCGTGTGTCTTCACCACTTTGTGTGAGCTCTTGAAGGACCAGGTCTGCGGCTCAATTCGTCTCACATCGTTGATACTTAGCACAGACCCTAGCACGTTGTAGGAACTCAATATCTATTCGTTTGATGAGTGGATAAAAGACTAATCTTTATTAGTCCATGTGATGATCCTGCCAATCTGTTTCAAGTACCTCCTTTACAAGCAGATTGTTCCCTAACGTTTCATTCCTAATTGTAAACTATCTTGCAAGATGGTTTCTATGTTTTACATTTTTGTTTACATATTTTTAAATGTAGAGTCGTTGCTTTGGGATTTTTTTTCCTAAATCTTTAAAAAAAATATGTTATAGTATCTGCTCAGTGAAATTGTAAGGCATTTTGGGATATCAATTTCTTGTGTTCCTTTTCCCCATTCCTAACCTAGAGCTTTTGATGGTGCTCTGAAAACAGATAAGTCAATGTTTACTATCCAGAAAGAAGGAAGGACGGAATGTGCCTTAATGAAATATAGATTAATTATTGGGTTACCACTTTATTTTATTCCCTGTCAAGGAAACTAGGAAGACACTGTGAATGGATTATGAAGGAAATGACTTCCATAGCAATGTAATATCAATGATGACAATGACAGTGTTGGTTTGTATCCCCCAAATCTGTATGGCAGGTAAATTTAGAGCCAAAGATAGATTTGATTTCCTGATTCCTGGTTGCCTTCTCAAACCTCTAGCCCAAGAAGCTTTCTTAAGAGGGACTTTGAGACTGTCCCTTTCTCAACATGCAGACAGTCTCATGAATTTAGTGATTCCGTCCTTCTGTATTAGGGACCATAACTATGAAGTCAGGGTACATTGGTTTACATGAAGGATTCAAGTCTTCACATTAGTCAAGTAGTAATTTTCCTGTAGCTAAAAATAAAAACATATACCATAACTATGAAATATTGATATATTTCTGGGAATATTTAAATAAGGAGATGACAAAACTCCTTAAAAGTTAACTTCAGTCTTTACTACTGTTACCATCCAACCTAAATTAGGGTACTAATAACTCCTTAAAGTGGTGTAGAATGTTGTGACTAACAGCTTGGCCTCAGGAGGTATAAGGTGTCATCTTCAGTCTTCTTCGTGGGAAGTGCTGAAGGGGTGGTGGCCAGCTGCCACTTCTCCCCAACCTCATATTGTCACCCTGCTTCAAGCCTGCACTACATCCCCACCCCTGCTTCCAGTCTGGGCCCCTCCAACCCATTTATTCTCCTTCCGACATCTCCCCACAACATACATCTGATGCCCTTCCCTTGACTCAGACTCTCCATGCTTCCCATTGCTCCAAGGATGTAGTCCACACTTCTTTAGGGGGGTTGCAAAGTCTTTCAAGACCTACAGGCCTTCCTTTGGTCTTTTCTACTCCCACTGTGTTTCAGGCCGACTGAAATTTCAGGTGCTTGAACCTCCGGCCAGGTCTTCCATATGCTGTTCCCTCTGCCTATGACTCTTTTCCTCTGCCTAGATGACTTCCTCCAAGAGTCCTTTCCTGATTCCCCGAGCCTAGGTTCAGTGTCCCACCCCCATGGGCTCTGCTGCAAACACGGTGTCTGAATCACCCACCAGATGTAAGCACTTCAAAGTCATGGGAAGGCAAGGACTGTTTCTTTTTCACTGCTGTCTCTTCAATACCAAGTGAAGTGCCCAGCACAGAAGTAGCCTGAAATAAATACTTGTGGAATAAAATGTGTGAGTGAACGAATAAATGGGTGAATGCATGAATCCTTACTTGCGGCATTACAAGTTGCAAAACTTTTCTTATCCACGTCTGTGAAGTAAATTGGATTAACATGGGAGGCAAACCTGCCACTGGGACCCCAGGCGAAGAACGAACCCTAGCTCTTTAATTGTGTGATTATCGGGTATTTGAGAAGCAAAGGAAAACTTTTGGTAGGAAGCTGGGAGTTGATTCTGTCAAAAGCAGCTGGGCCAGGGGACTCTGCAAAGGGGCGTTGGGAGTGGTGCCCAGAAACATCTGACTGCATTCCACTCACTGGCTTTTCAGAGTTATTTTCCAAGCCAAAGCTGGAATCTTCTGCCATACGTCTGGACCAGGGTGAAAGCCTGGACCTGTGGTGCAATGTCCCAGGAGCACCTCCAGCCAACTTCACCATCCAGAAGGAAGACACGATCCTGTCGCAGGCTCAAAATTTCACCAAGAAAGTCTCAGCATGGGACAGCGGGACATATACTTGCATCGCAGGAATTGGCAAGGTGGTCAAGAAAAGCAACACGGTGCAGATAACTGTGTGTGGTGAGTATATCCTCACTGGCTCAGGGAGTCTTGAGATTGAATGGGAGAAAGGGAATTTATCACCGGCTGCCGCCCTCTCCAGTCTGAAGGCAGATCTGACTAAGGCAGGGTAAGAACTCGAG